TATGCAATATAAGTCTCTGGTGTCCCCAGATGCATTGTCTGTGATGTTTCAGCTCAAAATTCCCACAGATCATTTATTATATAATTTTAAAAATGCCTATGTTGAGTGGAAGCAGAAACACGCTGTTTTTCGTGCCTGTCTCTATAAATGCAAATGAGCTGCTGCTCCCCACCCCCTTTTCCAGAATAGAGCTGCGCCATTACAGCTCATACCTGCTAAAAACATCTGTTCTGGTTCTGATTATCATGTTTATCATGCTGAAATCATGCATTTTAAACCATATTAGTTTAAACATCTGATATAGGGTTTTCGGAGTACACATATCCGAAGCACACGGACAGAAAGCGGATGTCACATGGCATGTGAGTACTAAACTAAGTTCTCATTCACACACAAGTTTACGTTAAAGGGGGAGGTCTAATGCCATTTCATGCATTTGGAGTTATTTACACTGTTAAAGAGTTGGATTCTCATGCTAAACATGGCCATATAAGTATTTGTCACATTTAAGAACATGTCTCTGAAATGCAGTGGTTTACAAAACTGTCTTGAAGCACCCCAGCACTGTTTTCCTCATCTAACACAGCCGATTCAACTTGTAGGCTCATTAGTAGTGACTTTAAGACCTGAAGTGGGTCAGAAATGGTAAAAAGTGTCAGATCTGCATCATGTTCAGCAGTGGTAGCTCTTAAAGTAATAGCAGCCAAAAATCCTAATAACCCAGCTGCTGTAATGTCTGTTAATCAAAGAACAAAAGAAATAAAAGAGAAAATCAGTAACTTTTGTAGCTTTAAGGAATAATCTATATTTAAAGTAGAATTTAGTGTTTGATAAACACATATCAGAAGCACACGGACAGAAAGCGGATGTCACAAGGCATGTGAGTACTAAACTAAGTTCTCATTCACACACAAGTTTACGTTAAAAGGGGGGTCTAATGCTATTTCATGCATTTGGAGTTATTTACACTTTTAAAGAGTTGGATTCTCATGCTAAACATGGCCAAAGTTTAAAAAAATCGATTTGGACGTATGACGGAGTATTTCTGTGCCAAATACACTCCTTCCGGGTTCGAATAAGTTTCGGAAAGTTTTTTTCGAGCATGGCTCTTCATGGCGTCACGAAGTGCGGAATTCCTTGTATGGGCACTTCTCCTGGAAGAGAGCGTGCACACAGCAAATATAGTGAGAGCGAGAGTGCGCGCCCACCAACGTGCTTCATTCGGGTTACGTAAGTCGTCAGCAGCACTGCACAGGACTTGCTCCAGAAGAATGTCACCAAAGAAGTGTGTTTTTGGATGTGAAGGAAAGATAACCTTGTTCAGCTTTCCAAAGAACTGCATCAAATTTCTGTGTTTTGTTGGCAGTCGACGCGTAAGTGCTCGCGACTCTTTCGCTCCACCCACGGCACACCTCCAGGAGCTCGGCTGTTTTCGGAGAGAATCGTAAAGCTGAACCCAGTGTTACGTGAACAGTGGATGCAGTTTGTTTTTCCGGGACATCAACGGAGTTTCGCACGTGTGTGTTTGTTCCCATCATTTCGGTGATGACTGTTTTATAAACAAGGCACAGTTCGATGCTGGATTTGCAGATCATTTGATTCTGAGTGGTCTCAGCGATAAAATATCCCGGTCATGAGCTGGAATCGCAGGCGGTGAGTAAAACTGCATCAAATTTCTGTTTTGTTGGCAATCGGCGCATAAGTACTCGGGACTCTTTAGCTCCGCCCACGGCACGCCTCCAGGAGCTCGGCTGTTTTCGGAGAGAATCGTAAAGCTGTATCTTTCTTTTATAAATCTGATAAAACTAAAAACTCTTCTGAGATATGAAGGATGCAATACTACTATATAGGTAGTCAAGATTAACATGAGATTGGTGAAAATGTGTGTTATGTCCCCTTTAAAAATACGAGTTTCAAAAACAGTCGGTCATGTCTGTGAAGGTAAACAGCTGGGAAATAAATCGCATGTTTATTTTAGATCTGTGTGGCAGCAGCAATATACAGTAAATAAATCAATAAATCCACTGCTCTCTTGTCTCCTCTGAGGCTGGGACTCTAAATAGTGTTCTGTGCTCGTCTGCGCAGCCAAAGACAGAACAGTTAGCATGTTTTGCTCAAACTTTCGTCATGGCATTAGAACTGGTACACCATTGTCACTTGCAAAATCAAATGACGGCGCTGTGGGTGGAAACTTGCAGATTAAGGGGCGGTAATATTATAATGAGATCCCTTTGCAACGTCACTAGGGGAGCGAAATCAGACACACTCGTTTTTTCAGATGCTTGCAGAAAAAGGCTTACCAAAACAAAGTTACTGGGTTAATCTTTTTCACGTTTCCTTGGTTGGTAGATGCACCGGGGACCTGATTATAGCACTTAAAACCTGGAAAAGTCCGATTTTCATGATATGCTGTGAGATTGATTGTGAAATTAATGCAATATAAAAGTTTAATTTTAGGTGTGATTAATCACAATTATTTTTTAGAAAAATTTGCAGATAGTTATTTTTTAATCAGTTGACAGCTGTAGTTGCTATACACTTTAAATATAAGAAAAAAGTAGCAAGATACACATAACTTTTTGCATATACTGTATGATTAAAGACAAATATTTAATATAATACAAATGTTAGATATAATTAAGGCAAATTCGACAATGTAATCTATCTTCCACTAATTTTTGACTAACAGAGAGTATTTAAATAGTTTGTCTTCATTTTGAAATGTATATCTGTTGTTTTATTATTTAAAACTTTATTTATTTATTTATCCATTTATTTATTTGGTCGGAAAAAACCCTTGTATGAACTTTTATGCTACTTCTTTACACCATCACTTGTTTTGATATTTTGTTACATAATGCGAGACATTCATACACAAAGAATGGCTTAAGTTTGAGAATGCATTCAGGCATAAACAAGCATTTTTAAATGTTAGGAAAAAAAGCAACATGTGCACAACCGACTGTTCATGACATATGCTCACTTGTTTCAAGTATCCCGAAAACGTGTTAGTTATATAACTGTTGTGCATAAAAACTTAGGGCATCTTCATATTTTGGAGTGTGCAAAAGACTTTTACTCACAGATGAAGGTCATTGAGCAAAAGGACATCTGTACATTCATCGTTGGTCGATGAAAAGCATCATCCCACATGAACAACCTTTCCCTGGAGGTTTGTTCACTTAAATTCAATTATGTTCCAATACATGTCATCTCCTCCATCAGTCATTTTTATTTAGCCTTCAGCACATCCACCGCTGCTCCCATGACCACATTCAACATTACATTTGACCTCCCTGAAAGCTCTACATGAGAGAGGGCTGTAAGATGGCTGACCAGCCTTACTCTCATGGTTTCAATTAGGTCCCATGGGCACCCGCTGACTGATGTGGGTAATGGCCTTGGATATGGGCGGCCACAGCGAGGGCGACTTTAAGATGATGCGTAAAGCCTGTGTAATTTACCACACTCAGGAGCTACACTCGCACAGCCGAGCATAAATCAACAAGCCTTGGCTTTCCGAGCACACGACCTCTCTCATCTGGAGCTAAAGAGTGTCATACCATCTGCCGCCAGCAGGTGGAACACCGACGTCATGTGCTCGCAGCTGCTTTTGATGGTTAAATCCCCAGCAGAAGCATGAGACTGAGAAGACTAATGAATATCTCAGGCACAAAAGATTGTGTTTCAGAGCTTAGTGGAGACATAAGGATTAACACACATAAGGAAGAAATCACAAAGCATGAGAGACCCTAACATAATTGCAGTATAATCGGTTTCTGAAATAGTGAAAAAAGACAATCAAATGAATGTCATTAAGATCGTAAGGTGAGAACCTAAACCCTATAAGT